TTTAAACCGTTGCTTAACCAGAAGAGGAGATAAGCTGAAAGTGTAGGACCTATTGTGAGAATACAACAGTGTATTTGCTGTCCGACACATTTCAGGATTGTGATTATGTATGAAATCGGGTTTGTGTAGCTGGAAGTGTCTGTGTTCATATTCTTGTGTAGAGTATATGCAATTAAATGTGATGCAAAAACAGCAGCACTTTTATTTAGTTGCTCTCGACATTAGATAGTTGTGGCATGTCGAGAGGCCAAATGGATACACAGTATCCACACACACACAAGACAATACACCAGGCATGCTGGTCTGAAGGTCAGCGGTGTGAGCGGCTCCACAGGGTCAATGTGACCACTTTATGGCTGCATCAAGTGCCAACATCCCAAAACCTCGGCCCAGGACTCCCTGGCGCCAATAGAGCTCTGGATGTTAATCACATGGGTTTTAATCTACACCTCAACCAAAGCACAGGATCAAAAAGGGTTTGAGGTGCAGGATTTACTACATACACAATCAAAACAATACAGAAACTTCCTACACTACATTTTAAGGAACCAAAGGAATATCAATAAAAAACACAGTATTATCATGTTTTTTTAGACATGAACCATGGTATACCATTGTACAACACCAATTGAACACACATATAGAAATAATTCAGTACCCTGGTGTATATATTATAAGTTTTAAGTTCTATAGTTTCAAATGGAGTGGTAAAATGAGTCTATTTCCAAAAAAAAAATGGAGTATCCCTTTAACATAGTATAGCCCAATGTCTAAAAAAAACAATGGCGATACCACAGGACTTGTAAAGAGTGGTAAAGTTGTATATTCATACATTTATCAATTTTAGTCATCAAGTTTGTCAAGTTTACATCTTGTAGTCATCATCAGTAAACAAAATTCCATTTAAAAGTAGCTTCCATTAAAGCTAAATATAAACTCAAACAAACCAATTTATGACATTCTAACTGAAATGAAAACGCATTAAAAGACGAATTTCCAAGAATAAAACAAGGTTTGGTTTAAATAGAGTACACTATAAAAAGACCAAGACTTATGCAAATTACAAACTCCAAGCATGCTAACACACACTACATAACTAGATTTTGTGTGTGTGAAACTCTCGCTGTACCAAAGCTCAAAATAATGAGAGCACGTCACGCATCAAGTGCCTCCAAACAGATATTAACAAGAGTTATGGAGATCATGACTCATGTTTCAATCTCAAATCTATCAATCTCACAGTGTGTCACAGTAAGAACATCTGCAAGCTGGTTACGATCTGAGGCTTTTTGTCAAAAACAAATCATATATTTGTCTGGAAAAGCATGATTTTTTTTTTAATGGAAACATGCGTTTGCAATTGCTATTGACAGCTGCTTATTTTAACACACAACTGCCTATAAATCGCAACTTATGCTAAGGTTTCCTAAAACCTAATGTTTAATATTTACTACCAATCTGTCCAGAATCGGGAATGCAAAACGTTCCAAAAACCTGTTCAATACATAGCAAAATCTTTACTCTTTTCTATATAGTGATATTCATAATCTTCAGTTATTTCTTCATCTGTATTCTACATCATTTTTTCAGAGGATTGTCCCTACACATAAAACCATGTTGAATTTAACCCTACATAAATAAGCATAATTAGTTGCTAATGAAGAACCCATTGCTCTCCTGTGAATCTGTAATTAGAATGTCATGTAGAAAACACTAAATTCTCACACCGTCTACATAAAAAAAAAAAAAAAAAACTGATTCACACCAATTATAATCAACAGAGCTGTCTTTCCCGCCACTATTGTCCTAGTTCGTCCGGGGAGAAAAAAACAACAACAGAATTTTAATATAGATATATTTTTCTGCTATGAATTTTATGTACACATTTTTGGCTTCTAATCAAATATATATACAGCTGTGTTGTTAATATTAACATGTTGTGCAAAATATTTCACTTCATAACAACTCATTCAAAGTCGTTATATTTATTTTCAATGGATTTTTTCTTCATTTTACTGTTGCTGATTGCTCCTTTTTGGTAAACAGCCTCGAACTAATGCAAAACTGACTGGACTCTTCTAATGTAGACACAGCATTATTGAGCAGTTGTACAATATTAAAGCTACTATACTGTATACTGTAGATATACACTCACCTAAAGGATTATTAGGATTCGCCTTCAAAACTGCCTTAATTCTATGTGACATTGATTCAACAAGGTGCTGAAAGCATTCTTTAGAAATGTAGGCCATGATAGGATAGCATCTTGCAGTTGATAGAGATTTGTGGGATGCACATCCAGGGCATGAAGCTCCTGTTCCACCAAAGATGCTCTATTGGGTTGAGATCTGGTGACTGTGGGGGCCATTTTAGTACAGTGAACTCATTGTCATGTTCAAGAAACCAATTTGAAATGATTCGAGCTTTGTGACATGGTGTATTTTCCTGCTGGAAGTAGCCATCAGAGGATGGGTACATGGTGGCCATAAAGGGATGGACATGGTCAGAAACAATGCTCAGGTAGGCTGTGGCATTTAAACGATGCCCAATTGGCACTAAGGGTCCTAAAGTGTGCCAAGAAAACAACCCCCACACCATTACACCACCACCACCAGCCTGCACAGTGGTAACAAGGCATGATGGATCCATGTTCTCATACTGTTTATGTCTCAACTGAATGTCTCAACAGAAATCGAGACTCATCAGACCAGGCAACATTTTTCCAGTCTTCAACTGTCCAATTCTGGTGAGCTCTTGCAAATTGTAGCCTCTTTTTCCTATTTGTAGTGGAGATGAGTGGTAGATCAGCTCTTCTGCTGTTGTAGCCCGTCCGCCTCAAGGTTGTGTGTGTTGTGGCTTCACCATAGACTGTAAAAAATATGGACGTAGTGTCCGTGACGTCACCCATAGGTTTCTGAAGAGCGATTTTGAGGCCTAAAGTGGGCGGGGCCGACCGTCGCCATCTTGGCAGTGCGTCACCTCTCGTCACTACCGGATAAATTAAAATGGGCAAAGAGGCGGGACGCGGGTGGAGCTGAGGTGCTAATGCTATGCTACTGCCGCTGAATTGACAGCTGATTTAAAAAGTAAAGCCAATGGTTAAAGTTCATGTTTTGCCCTTCGAAATATTATAATAGTTAAGACGTAACTAAAAGTGAAACTACTTTACTTTATCAACTTTATTAATCTCACAAGGGGCAATTAGTTAAGAGCATACAAGTACATTAACACAGATCACACATTTCTCAAAACATACAAGCAGTCAACTATGTGCATTGTGATGCATTATTATTCTGCTAGTTAAAAATGTATAAGTTACTTACAATATTGCTCTAAGCTTGTGCATGCGACAGTGATTCAAGGCAAGCACACATGTCAGTCGGCATCTCACGTCAAGTTCGTAAAGAGCTTTAATTCAGTCCATTTTACAATCCGATTTTGGCCGCCTCTCAGTTTCTCAGATGGGTCAAACCAAATATTACCTCAGAAATTCAAGTAAATGAACTAGAAATCCGCGCTCATTCAAGGGTGTGCATCTATTGCATGGACGGAGAGAAAGCACTGAAAACATCGGACATCCATTAGTGCATGCGAGGGAAACAGCTGGAAACACGGCGCAGCTCGATCTCTCCATACTCAACACGACGGAATCCAACGGCGTGCACGGGCGAAGGTATAATACATGTATTAAATTGTATGAAATAATCCCGGAAAAGCAGAAACACAGCTGAGGGTGACGCTAACAGACAGCAGACAAACGACTAGCAGTGAAAGCGGCAGCATGAATCCACCTGTCACTCAAGTGGCCACGCCCTTAATTATGCAGAACTTTAAGGCTTAAATATAATTTAAACAGATGAGTTGTAAAAAAATTCACCCCCCTCACAGTTGTCATGAAGGGAAAAATGAGCTCTATAGACCAAAGCCACTTTTTGCTCCAGGCTGTAAACATGTTTTTTTCTGCTGTAAAGTTGGGCATTTTAACATGGGGGAGATACAGATTTGACTCGCTTCTGCAGCCTGCCTCAAGCGGCCACTCGATAAATTGCAGTTTAATTCACTTCCGTATTGGCTTCAAGAGAGAGACGGGGAGGTTGCCGCTTGGGCTTCACAAATGCTTTTCTGCATACCTCGGTTGTAACGAGTGGTTATTTCAGTCAAAGTTGCTCTTCTTTCAGCTTGAATCAGTCGGCCCATTCTCCTCTGACCTCTAGCATCAACAAGGCATTTTCGCCCACAGGACTGCCGCATACTGGATGCTTTTCCCTTTCCACACCATTCTTTGTAAACCCTAGAAATGGCTGTGCGTGAAAATCCCAGTAACTGAGCAGATTGTGAAAAACTCAGACCGGCCTGTCTGGCACCAACAACCATGCCACGCTCAAAATTGCTTAAATCACCTTTCTTTCCCATTCTGACATTCAGTTTGGAGTTCAGGAGATTGTCTTGACCAGGACCACACCCCTAAAGGCATTGAAGCAACTGCCATGTGATTGGTTCATTAGATAATTGCATTAATGAGAAATTGAACAAGTGTTCCTAATAATCCTTTAGGTGAGTGTATATACATATAGGTGAGTATATATATATATATATATATATATATACACACTGTTTATTATATACAATCAAATTATTCTGGATTACTAATATTTTACCAATCAATCAATATGAGCTACAAGGGTACACTACCATTAAAAACAAATTGGCCGATTTTTTTCTTTGTTAAAGAAACTTTCTTTCTTTACCTCACAAAATTACTTGTACAACCCAGAACTCTTCACTGAACAGAAAAAAAAAAATCCAGTAATGGTGCTAACAGCTCACCGAACACTTTCTGTTATGTTGACAGATGCCGAAAGGAGAAACTCAGTTTTTCTGACCATTAGCTTCAGTCACTAAAACCTGTCACCACCACTTCACACGCCGCTAAACCCTGCGTGTGTGAGGGTCGGATGTGATGCAAGGGGGTTAAACGGTGGTTAATCGCAGCTCTTTACCTAACCAGTCGTTAAACTTCTTGACCTCTGAGGGCAGGCCCAGCTCGGTGAAGTCCCCTGTGTGCAGGAGAACGTCCCCGTAAGGCATCTGGATGCCATCTGTCCGTGAGTGTGTGTCTGACACGCACACAAAACGCGTGTGGCCACCCGGCTTGGGAGTGTCGTATGAGATGGGGTCCACCCTGAGAAAGAGAATGAGCGATAAAGAAAAAGATGGAGGGAGAGAAAGAGAAGGAGGTTAGGGAGTTCTAGGAGTATGAAAATCAACAGAAATAACTGTATAAAACTGATACAATGTACAAACTAAAAATGTGACAAACGAATTATTTGCAACAGATCTATATGTGACTTTTACAGAAGATAAACATATCTTATGTGACAAATGTCATTGTAAAGTATAAATGTTGTGTGATAAACTCTGCTAAACGTGGCGTGCAACCCTAAAAATAAAAATAAAAATCTTCATCATTTGGCTTGTTGGAAGCCAAAATCATAATTGAAAATAAAACTTGGACAGACAGACAAATATTATTATTGTATTATTTTCATCCACAGCTTTTGAAGTCAAATTTAAAACTAGAGCAGAATCTTTTATTGCAAAAGCTCTGAAAATGGAAGCAGCCTTTAGAAATTCTCACATTTGATGTCTATTTAAGAGAATCACTCTCCTCTTGTCTGAACATCCTTTTATTTATTTTCCCAAAGATAGTTTTGGGGGATGAGGGGGGGTAGAAGAAATTCTCCTCTACAACTCCAAAGGAACGGAGAAAAAAAGGATCTTGGCTGTAATTGAAGTCAGAAACGTCCAATAAGCCGCGCTTGTTCCCCCCCCCCCACTATTATTTCATTACTAAAAGGGTTGTCAGTCGACAAAAAGCCCTCGGCTCTCTAATTAACACTTACATCTCCTGTCCGACTAAAAATATAAAGGAACCTTAGGAAGGGAGGTGGGCCAGTGCAACAACACACACACACACACTACATAAAAGAGCATCTACTCGAATGGAAGAAAAGAAAATAGCACATGATGAGAAATGGCACGTAATCAAAAAAGGAGGGAACAGACAAGAAAAAAGAAGTACACACATACACGTATACATACATATTTATGATAGATAGATCTAAAGAAAGAAAGAGCCACCCATTTTACACTGTCAGTGGCTTGTGCACTGAATCGTGATTACGTTTGACCGACTCGTATCTGAAATGAACCACCTGCACAGAAAATCATGACACTTTAAAAAAGGAGAGGGAGAAACAGGCGGACAGAAAATAATATTTGCTATTGATCACAATGCAGTAAATAAAAGCAAGTGCGGACACACACACACACACACACGTATTGATTAAATGTGGTCTGTGGTGGTCAGGCCAGCAACAGAGATATATAAAAGACTCGACAGATCTAGTTATGGAAGCGGCTGGTGTGCTGAACTCTGTGGCCCACACACACACACACACACACACACAGGGTCATATGAATCTATTAGAGTCAACAAGGCTTTTCCAAATGGAAGCAGATCTACGTATCTTTTCAGTGTCACCTGAACACGTGACTCGCAGGATTTGTTTCAACTTTTTAACACCAAATATAGAATTATAATTAAAAGAACTTTCCAAGTCTAATCGTGAATGACGATTCATTGAAGCACATTTAAAAATGACCTTTTACTTGGAAATCAAACCCATGACTTTGATTTTGCAAGCTTTAAACCAGTGGAACTATACCGCTGATTGTAGTCAGGTTGATTTAGTGATTTAAAATAATATTTTGACTTGAATAAAACCAATTTATTTAAAATGTTACAACATTTTTTTAGGTTACCTGACAAAAGATTTTTTCAAGGTGCTTAGGTTTCTAAAATGAAAACCAAAATCACCACAGCCACAAATATAGCCATGCCCGGACAGAGCCTTCTGAATATTTGCTCATTGTTTTAAATATTCACTCAGTCGTTTAAATATTCATTAGTCGAGGAGAGAAAAGAAAGGATTATTCGGCTTACGGTGCCGCTGAAATTGCATTAGAGCTAAACTGGAATGTGTGTGCGAGTGAGAGAAAGAGAAAATATACGAGTGTGTGACACTGAAAAAGCCAATAACTCTTGAAAGAAAAACCAAGCGAATAAAGACACTGTCATTCAAATCCACAGAAAAAGTAGGGTGAAAACAACACTTAGATATGTGAGGCACAGAATAACACACACATTTAGACTTTGGATGCACCGCGGCTCTTTTATTGGATACATGTGTCATTGCTCATTGCATAGGAAAGCGTTTTGATTTCTGTTCAAAGATACTCAATTTGACAGCGCTCATTTGATTCTTTAACCTTCAGGAACAACGAACGATTGAACTGTATCAAAGCTTCAAAAACAGCCACAGTTCATCTATTTCAGAGGGCGAACATAAGCGTGCTATTTGTGGATCTCTCTTCCTTCCTTTGACTTTCCTTACCAAAAAAGAATCTGAAGTTTGCAAATAGCAGACACAGTTGTTTGTCAGGTCAAGACTGAGGTAGGGGACAAGTAGCTGGTTTCTAATATGAAATTTTCCCTCTATAGCACGGTTAACATCATGCCCTCAGTCATCATGTGATGCATCATGCATTAATGTGACAAGTGATGAAAGATATCCACACAAAGGTACTTCTACCATATCGTAAAACTCAGTGGCCATTTACACAACACCGTTTTTACCTAAAAACTGATTTTTTATTTTTTGTCATTTACACGTCAAAAGCTTCAACGTTTTTGAAAACGACAACATTATCGCCTCTATATAAACAACAAAAAATGCACATTTGTGAAAAAAGATCAGAGATAGAGCGACAGACAAACAGAGCAATAGAACGATAGACAGACAGACAGACAGACGGACGGACGGACGGACGGACGGATGGATGGATGGATAGCGACAGACAGACAGACAGATAGACAGAAAGACAGATAGAACCAGACAGACAGACAGATAGATAGATAAATAGATAGCGATAGATAGATAGATAGATAGATAGATAGATAGATAGATAGATAGATAGATAGATAGATAGATAGATAGATAGATAGACAGACAGCGTCCGTCAGACAGACAGATAAATGGTGACAGACAGACAGACAGATAGATAGATAGATAGATAGATTGCTACAGATAGAGATAGCGACAGACAGACAGACAGATAGACAGAAAGACAGATAGAACCAGACAGACAGACAGATAGATGGATAAATAGATAGCGATAGATATATAGATAAATATATAGATAGATAGATAGATAGATAGATAGATAGACAGACAGACAGCGTCCGTCAGACAGACAGATAAATGGTGACAGACAGACAGACAGACAGATAGATAGATAGATAGATAGATAGATAGATAGATAGATAGATAGATAGATAGATAGATAGATAGATAGATAGATAGACAGACAGACAGACAGACAGACAGACAGACAGGCAGACAGACAGACGGCCATTAAAAGAAGACATCCTATTTTCGTCATAGAAGGGTAAATCAGGGCGCTGCACAGACTACAAGGAAATTTTTTTTTCGCATTTCCCTCCGCCATGGAAAGATTCCTTCTTTAATGTAGGAATTTGGTGAGGGAGTGACTGAGAGAGACAGTCAGAGTGAGAGATTGAACCCTCTGTGTACAGTATGAATATTTCAGAGGGCCGTGTTTTGTAGATGTGGGGCACAGGGCTGTGAAAAGAGTGCCCTGCAGTCAAGCCTTTGATGCGGATAGCACCGCCACTGCACTGATCTGTGGCAGGAAATGGACTTTTAGGCTTATCTGCCTCACTCAGGGCCACGTGTGTGTGTGTGTGTGTGTCTGTGTGTGTGTGTAAGACAAGCAGGGCAGGAAGCTCCATGAACCAGGGCCAGAGAAATAATACAAATTCTAATGATAATCATCAAGAGGAGCCAAATGTTTACTGGCTTTTCCGCTCGTACGGCTCGGCTTGTACTGCTATTGGTGAAGAGACATCAAACAACACTTGCAGTCCACCACCTTCACTCATACATAGCAATGCAATCCATTTCAAACAGAGAGACACAGCGGTTCTATCTTATCTTGTGCTTCTCAGCTGTCGGCGCTAATTCAATAAACTTCAGAGTAACACACAGAGCACAAAAATGAGAGAGAGGGAGAGAGAGAGAGAGAGAGAGAGAGACGGAAGCTGGAAAAACAGGATGGAGGATGAGGATAAATGGGGAAACCCTTCATGAACAAACATTTCAATTAGAAGATGAAATACAGCCATTTCAGACACCACTGCATATTTCCACAGGTTGTTCTTGTTCAATTCTGAAGTATTTTCATTTCAAACCTCTACACTATAAAAACAAGAAGGTTTCTCTTTTTTTCTGTCTGATTTTCAGCATTTTCAGACATTTGTAAAAAAAAAAAAAAAAACTGAATTTTTTTTTTAAAGAAGGGTAAAATAAAGCAATTAGCCAAGTGATGCTATCGGGGCATGATAAATTAAATTTAAAAAATACATAATAGTACACTACTGCACAGATTCCATTATTACTTATATAAAACTTAGCAATAGCATGATGTATGGTATAATTGACTATTAATATTATTAAACTTATTTAAATATGATTTGATTCAATGTATAGATTAGAATTCTAATAAATAGCCTAACAACAACAACACACTACCATTCAAAAGTTTGTGGCGAGTATGATTATTTTTTTAAGAAAAAAATAAATCAAGATGCAATAAATAAAAAGAAATTTAGGCTATAATATGACATATTCCAAATGTTGTTCTTATTAACTTTTTATTGATCATGGTTTCCATAAAAATATTATTACAAGCAACGCAACTCTTTTCAACATTGAAAAATGTTTCTTCAAACCTGCATTTTAGCATCATTTTTTAAAGTATCACATGACACTACCATCAGCAGAAAAATAACATTTTCCAATATATTAAAATTGAACAGTGGTTTTAAATTGTACTAAAATAATGTTTTTATTTTATCCTATTTTATCAAATAAACGCAAACTTTTGAATGGTAGCATAAATGACGATAAATAAATCAGCCCGATGGTTATAAGGCTAATTTTCACATTATTATAGAGTAATATTGAGTTGATCATTTCAAAAGTGGCACATCAAATCCAACCGTAAAAAAGTGAAAATGTTTAATAGACATAATCAAAG